AATGGAGTTAATATGAGAAAATGAAAAAAAGGAAACAAAGTCTTTGTAAATAGGGAGGGATGGAGGGGTTGAAGGGAGGGCAGGGGAAGGGGGAAAAAATAAGAACTAAGAGAGTACGTAAAGATGCATATCTCCAATGATGAATGTCATTATACTGTATACCTAAAATGTACCAATAAAAGGATATACAAAAAACCCCCACAACTTTCTGGGCTGGGGATTTAGCTTAGTGGTTCCACTGCCTGCCTTGCAAGCGCAAGGACCCGAGTTCGATCCCTAGTACCAGAAAAAAACCAAAAACAAAACTTTCTGAACCTCCAAGCCAACTGACTTGAGAACAAAGTTTCACTTCTCAAAATATACTAACAAACTCTTGATGTAATCAAACCCTCTTTTTTCATTACATTTTAAAGTAAACAGCAGTTTGGCACTTGTCATTTCTGGTTTCACAAGATCTGTTCTGAGATTTTTCAGAAAAAGTTTACCAACATAAACTCCTGAGGGATCCTCTAGATATAAACCACTCAGTCTTTAACTTTTTATTAAGTATAGGGAGGGCCACATAAGTATAAGGTCACTATCCAGGCTTTTGGAACCCCTCTTCAATCTCTTACAAAGGTGCTGGGAAAAAGGCAGGGGTGGGGAAGGGTCTTGATCCAAAGGACTCAGTTTGTAGGGCCTGTGGCAGCCTTGCAGAAAAGCTTGGAGCAATACAGATGACAGGAGTTAACTAGGCCAATTAGACTCAGAACTTGCGCAGGAAATTTCAGAGAAACATTTACTCCATAACACAAGCTGAAGTATGAGGGCATCCAAAGAGAAGTGGGGCCTGCCAACATGGAAGATCCACACCAGGAACAGAAGGCCTGGGGCAAAGGCCTTGCTGCCGATCTCCCGAGTGCTGTGAGAGTCCCGCCTCCTTCAGTGTTGATAATACGAGCTCATCTTGACCCCTAAGACCCTCACTTCTCCCAGCAGCTTGGGAAACCTCCGGTCCTGACAACCGGGTGCCTTCCTAATGGCCTGCTGCCAACTGCTGACGCCACCAGGCCCACCTCCTTTCCCAGCCCACTTCCTGTGAGATGTCTAAATGAGCCAGTCTCTCCAATTCTTTTCCCTAGTTTGGGGAAGGGGCTGAGGGTGGACATCCTCACTATTGAGTGTTTTTAAACTCCTGGGTTGAACTGCCGCTGGCTTTTCCTATGAATGAGAATCAGAAATCTCACTAGGAGCCTGGACCTATCCAGAATGGTAGAACCACATCAATTTGGGCCAGTTTACTTCCTCTTTTTGGGGGGGGGGGGCGGGGATCAAACTCGGGTCCTTGTATTTGCGAGGCAGGTGGCGGAACCACCGAGCTAAATCCTCGGCCACCACTTTACTTCTTGATCAAACCAGAAAAGTTATGCAAAGCACACCTCTACTTCTGATTGACAACCAATCAGAGGCATCATGTTAGTGTCACTGCAGTTTGGGCATTAACTGGCTTCACTAGTTCCCTTCTTCTGTCTCAAAATATTCTGAATATCTAAATGTGACCCAGTCTTCAGAAATTACTCTAGCTCTATTTGACCTTAGTCTAGTTCACTGCTCAAAAAATGAGACCCTGGGCACCCTATTCTGAGTGCATCTTATTCATAAAACTGATCCCCGTGCAAATCACTCCTACTACACTCCCATGTCTCCTGGGCCATCTGCAGCATGGAAATACTTTAATGACTTGGGCTCACTGAGTAAGCATGAACTAATATTGTTACACACATTCAAGTACCAAAGCTCTCAGTTTCACTGACCTGTGATCGCTTTCACCACCATATCAGAAACTTCTGGAATTTCTTCATTAACAGGGACACAAAGCATCTGAGGTGTGACCCAGTGCAGCGCTCTACAGAGAGAGAAAAACAGTAAAAGAGAGTTCCAGGAATGGACTGCGGCCTTTTATCCTGTCATTTCCTTCAACTGAGGGAAAACGGAGGACATCTGTAGGCAATCCTAGGCACCACCACTTAAGTCCTGCATTTATTAGGACAAAGTAACCAGGACCCTAAAACAAGACCACACTTCTGCATCTACCACAAGAACAGAAGACGGTTTCACTGGGTGAAAAGAGAAGGTAGGTGTGGTGGCACACACCTGTCCCCCCAGCACTCTGGAAAACTGAGACAGGATTGTAAGTTCAAGTCCTGCCTGGGGAACTTAGCAATTTAGTGAGATCCTGTCTCTAAATAAAAAATAAAAAAGAAGGGCTGGGGATGTAAGTCAGTATGAAGGCCCTATGTTCAATTTCTAGCAGCACAAAAACAAAAAAAGAAAACAAACAAACAAAAAACCCAAAACCCAAACAGGAGATTCTGCTACTAAGACTAGGAAGCAGCATATGAAGAATCCCTGTTCTCACTGTCCACCACATGACCTTCTGAGGACACAGGAACCATGTGAGAGGCCTGCAAGCACATGTCCCTTCGGTTTGAGTCATGGTGCACTTCCTGTTCAAACCCAACTTCACTGCATGACCCTTGCTTTGTGTACTGCTCTCCCCCAGCACCTTATCCGGCACCCATCGTCACTTCTGACCCCTACCCACAGGCTCCACCACCTACTCCTCGCTTTCTGTGGGACAGATCCCAGTACAGACAGACTGATGACCAGGCCCCGGTCCTGGACCTCATCGGCGGTCCTGGGGCCTGTCCTCCATGGGCACCGCCTCACAGCCATGCCTTGGGCCTGTGCCCACATGCAGGTGGCCAGTCCTAAGTGTCCTAGCATCACCAGAATGTAGAGTGCTGGGGCTCACTCTACGATCCCAGAAGGCTAGGCGCTGTGAGAGCTGAGACTGGAGGAATGGCTAAATAACACATTCTTCCCTGTGGTCAGAAGGAGGGAACAGGATGCCCACTGCCCTGATGTGGCACCTACAGCTTGCCACCTGACAGGACAGTGCAAGGAAATAAGAAAACAAGTCCTCCTATTCCTTGGCAATTTTGGAGATTTGAAACAATCTCAAACACCAAACACAGTTCTTCTCTAAAGCTGTGGAGGGTCAGATGGGTAAGTAAAATTATCCAGGCTCCTTCTTTCTGACAGCACAGAGGGCTTGCATGTTAAGCACAGCAGGCAGTTTAGCTCTTACTGTCTCTTAGGGTCTGAAACTCAAGGTCCTTATTGTACTACTTTGTGTTTTCCCATGAGTAGGTAGTAAATATACTACAAAGTAAATCAATGACCTGATCCTCTTTTGAATGGCAAGATCTTTCTTTTCATCATCAGTAGTTTCTGGACAGAATACGTATTTATAGAGACGGGTCATGATGTACTTTTCAATCTGATCCATTATCTTCTCAACTTTTTCTGGAGGCACTGAAATACACAAATGGAAACAAAAGCTCAAGAGAAGGACAGACATTTTAAATTAAGAGCATGTCTTTCGACATAACAGAAAACTAACTTACTAGTACATTTACTAATTTACTAGAAATATAAAGGTGATCAAAAAATATGGAGACTGTTATATTAAAATACTTATTATAGTAAAAGACACATTGCCACTCAAAATACTCTTCCTTGGGCCAGGGATTTAGCTCAGTGGTGCCGCCACCTGCCTCACAAGCACAAGGTCCCAAGTTTGATACCTGGTACCAAAAATTAAAAAAAAAAACATGATAGGATAAGTATGTTCAAAGCGAAGAGTATTTTGAGGGGGATTAAAGACAATGTGTCTTTTATTGTAATCAAGTAAAAAGGTTAAACATTCACCATAGTTTTTGTTCATATCTTGTATATTATACATGCTCAGAAAAGAAAGTATGTTACATGTGAAAATACCCTTTCAAAAATTAACCTTTAAGTGCTCGCTTTGGCAGCCCATATACTATAATAAAAATTCACCTTTAAGACTAACTTTTCCAGAATCTCCACTTCCAATGTAAGCAGTGTTGACAGATTTCACAGGTGCATGTATGCCAAGTGGGGGGACCTCAGGGTGGGCTACTTAGTAAAGCACTTGGAATCCCAAGGCTATGAACATTGGCAAGATGGTCAACATTCATTTCATTTTCACTTTTCTGAGGTTTACCATAAAACCATAGCAATCTCTCTGAGGTATACATATGGCATGATTTCTCGGATAAACGCATATCCTAACATCAGTGAAATCAAATTCGAGAAGAATCTCTTAAACTCCAAAGCTGAAGTAGTCATTCTCCTTTTGCCCCACCCCAACCCTCTTGAGGATCACATCATCATGAACAATGACTCACTACAGTGCTGATTCCAAGAAGGGGCACTTGTTTAGAAAAGCTTCCCAAACGGTTTACTCCATCTCATTTTTACCCACAATGGAGGCATTAAGCATTCCTATCAATAAGCTACCCAGATGCTCTGGTGATGCACAGGGTGGCATTCAAAGGCACTGCCAAGCCTGAGCCCAGCTCCTGGGGTGTCAGTGGAGCGGCTCACAGCGTGGTGTGTGAGATCCGCTGGGCCATCAGAAGAGAAGGGCCAAGTGATGAGCAGTGGCCTGGCAGCTCCGGGAGACCCCACAGTGGCTGGCTGGCGAAGCATTACCTTTCCCGCGAGTCTGCATCTTCTCAGCTACACTCTGGTAAAAGTCCTGAGTACACTCCGACTGTTCTTCAATGCTTAGGTCCTGAAATGAAGCGACAAAGAGGCTGTTTGGTAGCTGAAGAAGGTCATGGACAGAGTGCTATATTTTAAGAAGCTCCAAAGTCCACTCTTTGTATTCTTATACGTAATGCGTATTTTAATAATTTACATAATTGATGTGCATTTCCATTTAGCTAGTCTACTTAGTCATTTTGATGACTTTAAAATATTCCATTATATTAACCAATTTACTTAACCATCCTCCAGCACCGCACATTTGGGCTGCTTTTTCACCTTGATGTACTGTAGGTACACACAACCTTGTGAAGACTGCTTTCTTCTCAGTTATTTCTTCTGTCATTAGCCCCGTGTGTGTGCCTATTTCTCTGTGGCCCTGAGAACACTGGGTTTTACAATTTTCCCTTGGTTTTACTGATTTTATACTTACAATCTATGTATTTATTCCTCACCCTCTTCCAAAAAAATAAAGACTATATAAAAAAGCACTCTTCTCACCTTCTGCCTGCAGTTTAGCCTCTCTTCTTTCTCACTTTCAACCCATCTGTGTACTACAGTGAGGCCTGGCACTGTGCCTGTCACCTCAGCGGCTCTCAGTAGCGTGAGCTGCACTCAGCCCCGACAGCCCACCCTACTCTCCATGAACCCTGCACTTCTCCCACCTCTGTGGCACTAGTGTTCTCTGTCCAGACTGCCTTTACACCTCACCTGGCCTCTGCCAGCTGCCCAAGATGTCCCCACGCTGACGCCTTTAAGGCTCAGTTCACACTTTCCATCCTCCAAGAAGCTGTTCCCCATTTCCTTCATCAAAATAACCTCGTAGGTGTCCAAGCACCTATAGTACCAGGTGCTCACTGGGCCTGCAGCCATCATGCTGCCTAGACTGGTCATCTAGAAATGACACTCAGTTGCATCAGAATGGATTCATCTGGAAAAGCCGAGGCACCACCCTTAGTAAATTTATATATATTGTATTATATTCAGTTTCCTAGTTTTTACCTTTCATTTTACCTGATTTCTAATATTCACTGCGTACATTTTTAAAGCTAATACCATTAAACCTTTGACCTGATTATTAAAAATAATTCAACAGATCACTGTATCTACTCTCCACAGTTGAAATAAATAAGTTACTATCTTCAGAATTTTTTCATGCTTCATCTGTTACTCTGTCTAAAATGTAAGGTGGAGAGTGTGAAACACAGACCTAAAATGATGTGTAATGAGCATACTGGGCCTCTTCAGCAGCAATTAGGAAAAAGCACAGCAGATTCCCCAGTTTTCCTAGTTGTCATAGAGTTTGCCCTGAAAAACGGAGTCTATTTCTGGAATATCTGCTTTATTTCACTCTGTTGTTTTTATTCTTTTACCAAAACCTCATCTGGTTGTAATGAAAGTCGTTACATTTCAAAATTTAGATTTAGAAGCTTCCCCTCTACAAACTCCCCCCACCCTACCACATAAGAAATGAACACCTCTACTGTTGTTCTGTTTTCTCTGGAATTTCCTAAAGTAATATTTCCTCTGAATTTCCTGAAATGTCTATTTCTATCCATTCTATTTTTAAAATTTTAATGTTTTTATTATAACATGCTTGTGGTACATAATGAATACATTCTTAGTGGTCTATCCATTCTAAAAACACTTAGTACATGATTAGTAGAACTGCCAATGATATAAAAATGTTAATAAAATGTTCAGAGGGCCTTGAGTTTAAAAGAGAAGACTGATTGCAAATAATTACAGTATTCTACAATAATAATGAACAAAAAGACAAAGTACCGTGGGCACACAGGAGACCTCTCAACTCTCTTTTCTTTCTTTCCTTTCTTGAGACAGTCTTAACTCTGGGGCTCAAGTGAGCCTCCTGCCTCAGGCCCTTCCCCAGCCTGAGGAGCTGCATCTGGGACTGCAGGTGCAACCACCACAGCTGGCTCTCGCTTTTATTCCAGCCACCTGCATCAAGCATCTCTGTAGGTTCAGAGGTGGCAGCAGTGAGCGCCCTTGCTTCACTTCCACCTGGGAGAGCGCAGTGCCATGATGCCCTAGTGATGCCCATGAGCACACGGTCTCCTTCATGCTCTTCGGTGTGAGCCCCAGAGGGGCACAGTCACCCATGACCCAGCTGCCCTCAGTGTGGAAGCAGGAAGGGTCTGGAGAAGGCTCAGTAGGTCAGTTACCACCATGTAACACCTGAATTCCCAATTTTCCAACGAGAATGCAACGTTTGTTTCCTACCTAGCCTCCACCTATGAACTGTTACAACATGCTTACACTCTAAGCTCTCTGAACTTCATCTCTGTACTAAACTGATAATCAGATAAACCTATCGAAGGGCTAAGCAACTTTAGGAAATATGTGTTCAGAGCTAGTTTTAATATTACACCTGGCCTTTATGAAGAACATGGTTGTAAACTGAGTATCAAATTATCACCCTGTTCTCTTATTTTAATCATTTTGTAAACCTCCTCAAATTCTTTCAATAAACAGAACGAGTTTAAATAAAGACTATCATTACAGGCTTTTTTAATTTAAAAAACTTTTTTTGTGACAAGGTCTCGTTATGTAGTTCATGGTGGCCTTGAACGTACTACATAGCCCAGGCTGGCCTCAAACTTGCAGCAACCCTCCTGCCTCAGCCTTCTCAGGGCTGGGATTATAAGTGTGTACCCCTATACCTGGCTGAGATGGAAGTTTTTTTGGTACCGGGGATCAAACTTGGGTTCTTGCGCTTGCACAGCAGGCGGCGAAACCACTGAGCTATAAATCCCTGACCCTGAGATGGATTTTTTAACATTAAATCAGTAAATCTAATTTTAATTTGAATAGGGAAGACTGAACATTGCAACTGTGATACCTGAATTTTCCTTTATGATGGTTTCATCAAGTTGTTATTCTTTTAGTTTTATGTCCTTTCTACAGTAATTATTCATTTTAATCTACTTAGGTAGTTTACACATCATTACCTTTCATTTGCACCAAACTGTAACACTTAACCAGGAACAAACTATATTCATTCTCACGATTATTACTAGTACTCACTTCTAATTAGAAACACTGTGAGCGCCTTTTAAAGACCTAAGCAGAGTGTGTAACTGGTAATGATGGGTCACCTTTTCACCCTGCTCCGGTGTAATTTAACATCACACTTCAGAAACCTTCATCTAACAGATCTGTTTCTTGTACACTTCCCACTAAAACCTTACCTTGCTATCACACAGTTAGTGCTCAATATTAGCTGAATGAAAGAAGGAATAAATGTGAGCATTTGTTGTTGTTCTCCACCTGTAATACTGTAAAGGTGTTGGAGGCAATTCTCCATAGGCTCTCACACTTGTGCACATCTTGTGAGCAGAGGCCATGACTGCCTTTGTTCTGCACCACCTTCTCAAAGATATTTAAACAGCAAACAGTATTGGAAGAGAGTGGTAATGCCTCCCTCAAAAGAAAATGACTGTTTGCGGTCCAGTATAATAATGTTTTCTTCGGAGCCAACCTCAGGCTGACTTGCTGTCCATTATTAAACGTTCAAACTCTTAAAGTTCAAAGTTCCTCTAATGCAGCTCACTGCATGCACAAGCATTACCTGTGAGAACTGACACGCAGAATTTGTGCAAATGCTGACAGTTTGGTTTCTGCTATTGCTGTAATACACTGGCCTTTGTCTCTGTCCCAGGAAACTCATGTCTTCTGCCAGAATTCATGAGACTATGCAGGCTACCTTGTTAGGCAGCAAAGTAAACCTCAGGCCTCTCAGTTTTTGTCAAAAGAACTAAGTTACAGCTGGCTTGTGTTCATGAGTTCTTTTGGGTTCTACAAAATTCTAAAAGATTTTTCATACTTTCCAAGAAAAATAGTCTAGCAGTGTAAATGAAACATTTCCCTCAAATATTCACTATCACTTGGGGTCAACTTTTTTCATAATGACTAAGTCAAAAGTCATTTTTTTCCCTAAAATTTATTTTCTTTGTAATTTAAAACATGGATATGTGGGTTATCTTTCTTTCAATACAATACTGAGAGATACTCTTCACTTTTCCTGTGTGGCTCCAGTTTTGAAAACTTTCATTTGACTAATTCCCTAATTATTAGAACTTAGTATCTCCATGATCTATTTTCTGTATTCATTAAGTTTCTCTTCCCCTGCTACTGCTACTGTTTAATCTATTTATGTTTTAGCTTCAATGTCTTTTTTTTTTTTAGTGGTGGTGCTTGGAATCAAACCCGAAACCTCACATGGTATGCAAACACTCTGCCACTGAGCTACACCCTTAGCCCATTATGGCTTATATCTAGATATCTCCCCAAAGCCTTATGTGCTCATAGGTGGGGCTTTTCAGAGCTGGTTGGATTTAGAGCGTGTGATACTGGGATTAAGGGTATGCAGTATGAAATTAGCCTACTGACTAGAATTAGCATAGTTCTAGGTAGCACCACCCAAAAGGCTGGCAGCCTGGATGGGATAAAAGGGTAAAGCAGGTTAGCTTCTTGCTGGTTCTGCTTGCTGCCTTCTACCTGCCACACCATGAACTGTTTCTCCTCTGTGATGTCCCTCTGCCATGCCGACCTGCCTTGGAGATGGCCAATTATGGACTGAAGCCTCTACAAACTGTGAGCCAAATAAGCCTTTCCTTCTTTAACTTGTGGGTGTCAGGTATTTTGTCTCAGCAACGAGAAAAATAACTAAGACAGATTTTGGTACCGAGAGGACAGGGCTGCTGCTGTGATTGTACCTGACCATGTGGTTCAACAGCCTTTAGAACTGGCTTGCAGGGAGAGTTTGGAAAGGTTTGGAGATGCTGGCTGAAAAAGTAGAGCTGGAATGCCTGAGGCTGTGCTTGATGGGAGATTCTGGTCAAAGCACAGAAAATCAGAATGCTGTTGGAAATGCTGCCGGTAAAAACCAAGCTCAGGAGGTTTCACTTAGGAACAACAACTGCATTGGCTGTTGGACTCCAGATCATGTGTGTTATGCTCTAGCTAAAAATTTGTCTGAAATTTTGCTCATGTCCAGATACTTTGCCT